GAGCGGTATAGAAACTACAAGCTTCACATTGACATTTTCATTAAAACAACAATAAACATGACTCCAGTGAGACATGGAACACAAGTTAAATAACAGGAAAAGTGACTAACATGATATAAGCTTTAGTGACGATACAATGTAAGAAAAACAACCGAATCTTGTGCCAGGAGTAGATACCGAAAAGGGATGAAAACGAGGGTAAGACGTAGGTAGAGCTGAAACGATGTAATAACAGTTAGTCATAAAACTGATTCGGAAAGAGCGGCTAAACTAGAAGAAGCAAACTATTTGATGACGATAGAATAGAAAAAATATATCGAAATGAATGGAAGAAAAGGGGGTACCGTGACAGTTTTATCTGTCGTCTTCATCACGACTTGAATAAAATCTCATTGCTGACAAACTGTACCGGTAAATGAGACTTTATTGTAATCCTCCGATTTGATAATACAATATATAATAGTCGAGCATTTGATAATATATGATAAAAAAATTCTTCCATGATATTTTATAAGAGAAAAAGACAAATCATCATTTAATCAGATTGAGCATGTATGTTGCTTGTGGTATTTTATTCAAAAGCGATTACATGATAAGCGAATGAATTAAGTACCAAAATGAAACAAATTTAGCTTTGATTGTTGAAAACACGACGTCTTGAGCATGTACTCGTTAACAAGTCAAGTACACCTTTCTTTTAACAGGAAAAATATTGATAACAGCAATTTTGAAATTTGTTGAAGTTTCCTCCTGTTAAAAATTCGTTATTATTATTATCACTTGTTATACATGGCTTTAGGGTTTCTGGTAATGTTACTTCCAAGCGGAAAAAGTCATCAACGATATTGGTCCACAAAAAAGACACTACAGATGATACTTGTAACTTCAGGTAAATAATCTTAGAATCTGTTCCCTTGAAAATCTTCACCTCCTGCCTTCGTAACTCTGTCTTTAACTTTCAGAAACAAAATGTATTCATTGCAACTTCAATTCAAAAAGACTTCACTCCCAAGTTTATCCGACAGTTTAGAACACGCTGCACGCAGGTCTCATATGATAGATAAAATTCAGAACACACTGAACTCGCACAAAGCTCGAATAAACAACGCTCTTTGGCTGTTACCCTGCTTAATCTCAAAAATGCTCTTAATGAAGTCAACCGTAATTTGATTACCACTTTTCTTTCGCACCATCATGTACCATATCATATTCAGGCTCTGGTCCCCAGCATTTATTTGGGCTTTAACTGCTCCTCACAGATGCATTCAAAACTCCGTGCCATCCCTGTTTTGTTGATTTTTCATCATTATTTTTTTATTAAATTCTTATTTCGACACGATATCCTATCAGAAACCTAAGTACAAGTAATGATAAGTTAAGACAGTCTAATAATGGAAGACAAACATTTGAAAAATCATTTTATTAAAGGAAAGGAGTAAATTCAATTTTACGTCTGATCTTCCTGGGAGTCGTGTTTTAACTCGAGTTTCCTGAGTTTTTCAAATGAGCTTTTAATTTTCGTTTGAATTGATGGAGCTATGGGATCTCCTTTAGTTCTATGGGTATTTCGTTCCAAGCTTTAAGCCCAGAGAGGTGGAATCCTTTTTTATACTCTCAAGCGTAAATTTTGAGATGTCGAGATATCTATTGTTTCTTGTGAAATTTCAAGCCTCTGATTATACTTGTTCCAGAGGTTCTAAGGGCACTGCTTGTTAACTATTTTTTGTGTCATGAAAGATCTTGTGGTGTTCTTCAAGGTGAATGCCTCAGCCCTCTTCTTTTCAATCTATGCTTTTAAACCTATATACAGTATATTAAAGCAGAAAAACATAAACAGCTTGGCTTATGTTTCAACCAATGCACTGGTTTCAGTTTGTGATGCGGTGCGGTTGTCACTAGGGGTGAAAAGGAGAACCAGCTCCTGTTAGCCTGCTTTACAAGGTGGTCATTGGCAAAACCTTCCAATAAGGGTCGATAAATATGTGGCCATTGGCATTAAGAAATATTCCACTAGATCTCGCCAGTTGCAGCCAAAGCTTTTCATTAGAAACCAAACTAAATTCGTTTTTTGCCTTGCGTTCATACTACTCTGCTATGAAAACGGAGTCGTTTGAAAACGCTAATGAAAACGGATACTTTCGAATACGCTCCTACGAGACATTTGAATACGCTAACAACGGGAACAAAATACGTGCTTTCTAACACACCAAATTTCATTCATAATGACGGCAATTTGTTGAGGATTCTTAAACGCATCTTTTCAAAAATGAGGCCATCAACAGCGTTTTTGTTGGAGCAGTGTGAACATTTACCGTATTCAATTCGTATTCATTTGAAAACGGATAAGTGTGAACGAAAACGGAGCAAAACGAATACGGAGCAGTGTAAACGTAGCCTTAGTCAAAATGGGGAATCTGTCAAATACCTCGGCCGTTTCTTTGGCGTCGAAATGACCTATGGCAGAGATAAACTGCTATCAATATTCTCAGCCTTCTGAAAGAAATTGACGACTTGCCGCTGCCTGTCCTTTAAATGCCAATCGACAAGTCACAGTGATCATGATTATGTATGTTGCAACACGAAATTTGTTAAGTAGTTTGTTGGAGTTGAAGTAAGGATTGTGATCGGCGGATATGTAAAATGAAATACTTATGGATTGGGTACTAAACGGTTTACACAAAGTGGTGATTTTTCTTTGATTTTGCATCTTATACTTCGTCCATCATTAAATATTGAGATAGGGCACCGAGAGAGATGGTGGTCCCAACAAGCAATACTCTCTCTACTCGCAAAAATCCAAGCCTTTGGAACCTAAGACAATCGTTTGATTGTGAACTCTGCTTCCTCCCGAAACTTTACTCCATGTCGTTGCAGGCTGCAAAGTCTATCTTGAACAAGGTCGTTATGCCTGGCGTCATAATTTTGCTCTTATTTTTCCTGCCACTTCCCTGAAAGGAATAGAGAGATCCTCCATTTTTTGCCGATAAACCTCGTTTTACCTCGCCATCCGTCTTAACTGGAGAAAATCTGCGCCCAGATCGACTTTTGCAGGGAAAGGAAACATTTTATATGCCTTGGAACAAACGATAGGATTTGAAACTAAGACGCTGTTCCCTAAGCTTTCTGTTTGTCAAAATAATTCTCCGGGGGATCTTAGCTAAATTTATTTGTCATGACAAATCCAAAATCACTTTTTAAAGAAGTTTTGCACATCATACAATGAAAAATTGACTTCTGAAAAATTAAAACAAAGCATCGACTCTCTATTGATGTCTTTATTAATGACTCTTTATTAGCTGAGTAAGTTTATAAAGGATTTTAGATGTTATTGAGGAATACGAGTCTCTGTATCAGTCGTTTCAGAAAGACCTGTCTAGCATAATTTTTTTACGATCTCAAATGTTCGTTGTCACTTAATTTTTTCTTATGTCTTCTTTCTGGCAACAGTTCTTGAATAGAAAAAATCTTCAGATTTGATTCAACACTTAAAACCATTGTCCTCAGTCTTGTACTTCGTCGTGACAAAAATATAGAGATTTTTTCCAAGCTAAAAAATCTTGCAATTTTATTGCAAAACTAAAAAAAGTCAAACTCTTCAGTAATATTGATGGCAAGGAGTTCCACAGCCTGCGATTGCACAATTTGAATCCGGCAATCATTTTAAAATATCACCACAGAACAGATTGGGATATCACAACATAAAAAACAATGAACTATAATCCTACAATTAGTTTTCACATCCCTTACTTAAATCGTGTGCTTATAATAAACAGGAACGAAGAGATGAAGAGTAAAGGCTTCCAGACCAGAGATTTCTTTTTCGTCTGTGGTTAAAAATACTTTTACTTGCATTTCCTACCATTAAAAGGCAAGCAGCGTTTACAATTTCTTTTTCTAATATTTGTTTTTAGCTATAACCATCAAAACTGAAAAGTATTTTGGTGCATAGAGCTGTACATTAACACACGTAAGGAAATTTTTATTTGGTCAAACCTGGAAAAGAAACTTTATGCGTCTAGATTAATTTATAGTTGAAATCTATAGTTGAAATCTAAGTAACCACTTTAACTCAGCGGTGGCGCCAGAAATAGGGGCTTGATCTCCAACAGGGAGAGAGGGGTTAGTTTGAAAATTGAAATGTTAGTCTGAATTTCAGAATTAAATGACACACAAGAAAACATGTAATGATAGATAGTTTATGAATATCCCTTCTATTTCTGACATTTTTTGTACTCCTTGGCTTCAATGTTCTGGGAGGGGGGCTATCAAAAGCAAAGTCCTGGGGAATTTGGCTTTCCTTTGTTTAAATGTCACTTCCCCGGTAGAATGTGCAAACTTGCTTCTTCTCAACTGCAAAAATACTGTATAAGATTTGCATTTTGAAATGAAATAGTGAAAATAGTGTCATATTGCATAATCTTTGCCATTATTTCATCATCACAGGGGAAAATTACACTACTTTGATGAATAATGTATAAATATAATTATCAATGCAGACTTTTTGACTTGCATCTTTAGTCAATAGTTAAAAATTTGGTAGGCCACAAAAAAGGATGTTAGGAAATGTTTCAAATATGATCTTAAGACTGTCAATTTGCCAATACCCCAATGGATCTTACATGATAAAGGCATAGGCACTTAGCTATATGTGCAAATAATGAAAATTCACGGCAACAAGACTGCTCTATGGACTCTAATAAATGCTTTAAGAGAAGTAGATTGTTTTTCATTTAGGTCCCCCATCCATTTTTGGCATTTTCATAAAGTAATTGGCTATTTAAACATCACAAGGGTATGTACATGTACCATTTTGACATTAAAATGGCTAACAATTAACTGCTTAGAGAAAAGGTCTTGTCTAATCTTCATTATCTTCTCATTTTTATATTTTAATCAGCCTTCACACTTTTATCTACTTTTTGATAAGAGGCCATGATCTTGTTTTGGGATTGGCCTAGGAAGTATCACATGTCATAAGCAACCTCAAAGACAAAAAATAATTATATTATAAATTTAAACTAAATTTTAATTTATACATAGCGAATGAACTATGACATTATCAAAAGCTAGTCATTTAGAATGATAAATCTTTTGCACACAACATTATCTCATCAGGCAAAATTTCCATACACTCAAACTACTTAGGCTATTTAACTTTCAAACTTTTACCATTCACTGTTCTGTTAATATCTAGTATCATTGGTCCAGCCTTCTCCACCCAGGTATCTGGTGTTTGCTGCTTGGCTGCAGCGTTTCCAAATATTTTCTGCAGCATGGGGGTATTGATGACTCCAGGATCAAGAGGAACACAAGCAAGTGGGTCTGGCAGTTCACTTGCAACAGCTTTCGAGAACCCTTCAATGGCAAATTTGCTGGCACAGTAAGCCGAAACCCCTGGGGATACGCTTTTCCCCCACGCTGCAGACATGTTGACAACAATACCTCTTTTAGCTTTCACCATGTGGGGGAGAAAATGACGCAGTGCATTTGCAACCCCTTTTATATTAATGTCTATGGCGTTGTCAAAATCTTCAGGTGGAACCCTCCAGAATTTACTTGTTTTGTTTGCTATAGATGCATTGTTAATAAGGATATCTGGAACCCCGAAATCGGCAATTATTTGTCTAACCCAGTGTTCTACTTCATTGTTTTTTGACACATCAACAACATGAAAACGATTACTACCATACTTGGAATTTAACTCTTCAATCTTCAAATTAGTTCTGCCACATCCAACTACCAAGTGAGAATGCCTAGTAAAGAACTGAGTCATCGCAGCACCAAGACCAGAAGTAACTCCCGTAACAGCGATTACTTTACTTGCCTGTGCCATGCTTAAAATTTTTTCAAGTAGGCCTGTTTACTTGTTATGTAATGTTATCATCTCAATGAGGGCGCCGAAGGCGCAATATGCAGCAAGGCAGATTGTGTTTTGGCGGCAAATTTGAATGCACTCTTTCGACTAATTTTCAAGAGAAATTTTCAAAGAACACGGGCTCAAAATTGACCAAGAGTCAATGACAAATTAAGAATGAGCTGAGACCGACCTTTTGTAAAATGTTGTAAACTATAATCAATTAAAAAAAGAAATTAATAACATCCAGCCTCATATTTTTGAAAAAATTAAGAACAGCCAGCTTGAACTTCACTTTACTTGTCCATATAAACAAATAACGTAGTGGCCATTAAGGACTTGTTCCATTTCATAAGCCTAAAACTATAAAAGCCAAAAAGTGAGTCTTGACGCAGCCAAAGGGCTATTCAAAGGTTGTGCTCAGCCAAAGGCAGAATAGCTTTTGTTATTTGATGACTTCATAATGGCGAGCCTCAAGCCTGTCTCTGTATCTCAGAGACTTTAAAGAGCAATCTTGTCTGAGTGTTAGAGACCATGAGATTTGTAGGCCATGACTTTGGATTCACTACACAGTTTATTGATAAGTGGTCTGCTTAGGGCATTAAAGCTGCTAACAATTTTCATCCTGTCAGCTCGGTTTTGAAGTTTTGCAACTGATTAATTTCAGTAGAACCACAACAACCTTAAAGGAAGCAACAGAACCGAATGTGTGGTTCAACAATGCTTCATACTGGTTGCTTACAGGTTTGGTAAAAGTGCGGACTAATTTCGTTCACTTGTATATCGCTGTGTGAGCGACATTATATTGTACACAATTGTAGCAATAAATGTCTCATGTAAATTCCGCAAATTTATGTTTAACAATATTAATGATTAATGATAATGGAGTCAAAACCTTGAAAACTTTCTTTCAAATAGACGAAATGAGAAGGCTTCGTTGCACTTATCATTATGGCCTAGTTTCCTTTTATAGTTGATTTTTGGATATATTTCTGTTAAATAGGGAATAGAAAAAAAACGTCTCTTCCGATGTTTGCGTTTCTAATTGCTAGTGAAAGAAAAGTACAATGACTCTACAAAAATGTCATTACATTGCAAAAATTCTCTATCCGGTGCAAGATAATAAATCTGTATCAAGTTCTGTGTTTCACGACATTTCACTCCAGAAAAAAGAAAGGCAATCACTGCCTTGTCTATATATTTTCTCTTCAAGGAAAGTGTTGGCAGATATTTTCACTGTCATCGGAGTCTTTCAGGACGATCGTCGAATCTCCCATCAAAGTCGTGGCCTAAATTCCCCCCCCTGCACTTTTTTGTAGCTCCTATGCGCTTTAAGTTCTCAATTGGCGCTTTTTTGCCTCTCTTTGCGCACAGAATTCGTTTTTGCCGGATAATTAGCTTCTCTAGTATTTTTCGCTACAGAATTGTTTTGATTCTTACTGATATTTCAATCTTTCTTGCTGATTTCTTTATTCTTGTCTGTATTTTGGAAAAGCTCATTTTTATAGGGCCACATTACGCCAATGCTATTGATGCTGTTGCAAACGAACAAATCTCGTTGCTTTAGAGGTACTGGTTTTGCTTCACGATCTGTCATCTCAGCGCAATTCAATGAATGAAGCAAGAGGCTCCTTTTTACAAGAAAATCGAGGAAAATTGAAGCCTTACCACCAACTTGGGATGCTTTGCATCAACATACCATTCGGCTAGCATTTAGAATAGGGTGAGTTTAGATAGATATTCAGGAACAAAGCAATACGCCGACGATAATCCAATGTAACGAGATAAAATTTTCAAAATAAATTAAATTTATGGAATACTAATATTTCGCCCCGGCATACAGGGCTTCATCAGAGTAAAAAGCAAATTAAGGCAATTTCGACCAAGGTCTCCAAGGCGATCGGCTTTTTGAAACATGCTACATCCTTTCTGCCTATGGCAAGTTTGAAAACTTTTTAAGCTGGTATTGTAGAGCCCCATTTTCGATACTGTTGTTCTGTCTGGGATTGTGCTGGGTCTACAGATATCGACCAGTTACAAAAACTTCAAAATCGTGCTGCTAAGATCATAACAAATAGCAGCTTTGATACCCCAGGCAGACCACTTATTGCAAAGTTGGGCTGGAAGACCATTGAAGAGCTCATTGGCAATGAGACAAAAACAATTGTCTTCAAGTCGCTCTATGATTTGGCTCCTCAATACTTGTGTAGCCTCTGCACCAAAACCTTAGCATGCTCCTCCTGCAGCCTCCGGAATACTGAGACTGATTGAGTGAGATGCCAAAGAAAAAGTCAGCAAATGGACGAAAATGCTTTTCTTTTCGGGGAGCTAAACTATGGAATAGCTTTCCTGCTTAGTCTAAGACGGCATCCTCCCTGGGTGGTTTAAAAAGATTAATACAGGGTTGACTATTCCTTTTATACTGTATAATGTCATGTAATTGTAAATGTAAATTTATTTTCTAGCATTTCAATTATATATTGTTATTAACTTTTATTGGATGGCACCTTGAAAAACAACTTCTGTTGAAGGGCAACCCTCCCTAAACAAATCAAATATGAAATATGAATAGACTATAATATAGTTTTAAACGCTTCCATTATAACTGAAATACACGCTCATCATACATTAAGACTGTTTGTCTGCAAGAGTCTGCAAGTGATTTCAGTTTATAGATCTTTTTTGACGAAATTCTTCTAAGTTATCTGCTTAAAATTTTTCGTTACTTAATCAAATCCATCTATTATTCATGATGCCTCCTAATTCTTCGTATATATTTGTCATAAACGATGTTTCTCGGTACTTTGATCTGGCTATTCTGCAACACATGTCAAATGGTGAGACTTTTCCACAGTTCGAGTAATTCTGATAAATACTGTTAACACTTATTTAAAGTTCAAAAGACAAAACAAGGAGATTTAGCTGATTCACATAGAGTACAAAATGTGCAAAAACTGCATCACAAATGTTACCAGCATATCAATTAAGTTATAACCTGTTTTCAAATGAAAGAATACTTGAGGCTGTTACTTCAATGGATGTGGTCACTTACCTCACCATCATCCGGGCCCTTACAGCTTCAAAGCCACCCTACAACTAGGATACCAGACCGCTTATGTTCATTCGCCCATGGTGGTTGCCCTTTTCCTCTGAATCTGTGCATTTTAATAGTTTTAATGAAAAAGGATGACGACTTATTATACTGACGCAACCTGTGCCATGACATGATCTGTCTCAGTTGCAAATCTAAGGCGCTTGTGCAGAAGCCAAGACGACTTGACGAAGAGACGCTCTTGAAGATTTTGCTGCCTTCTTAAGACTAGATTCAACGTTCGTACATTGTTGACTATTCTGATGGAAGAATTTGAATGAAAATAGCAGAGCTCTAAAAGAATCGGAATCCTCATTAAAATCTTCACATCTAAGCTTGGATTATGCATGAAAGTCGAAGCTATTATGTCAAACCTGCAGTGGCGGCGCCAGCCCCTAGGCTTTGGAGGAGAGAAAAGATTGTTTTTAGGCCACGCCCAGTTTACCTCTTTTAACCTAAAATAAACGTCAATTGTGCCTGAAGAGAACTTTTAGTTACTTAAAGGCAGCTTCTAAATCATATGATTACATCACAAACAAATATGATACCAAAATATTAACCCTCCCCCCAACATTTTTGCATCAAATTTGAACGGACTGATTCTGTCGAAAACAGAATTGGGGACTTGTTTTTTGCAGCCCCATTAGGTTTCGTAGCTTCATTTGTGAAAGGAGATGCTTGTTTAACAAATATTGGGTAAAAGCAACCGAAAGAATTAAAAGCTGAAGGTTGAATTTCTTCTACTAAAAAGATGGAAGGAAAAGAGCGAAGAAGCTTGACTCCTATAATTTGGTTACAACCAATAGAAGGGTGGAAAGGTGTTTTTTATTAATTGGTTTTGAATGATTAAAGGAAAGAAAGGCTAAGCATTACTCGTATCGATTGATGAAGAAAGATTAAGAAAGGAATGAAATGCCGTTACTTGAATGAAATGAATGAAATTACTTGAATCAATTGGCTGCAAAATATTTAAAGAAAAAGAAACTGACGAATCACGCAAATGGATAACCTGTAAAAAATCAAAAGATGCATATAGTGACAGATAACATTTGAATATTGACTTAAAAAGGTTGAAGGCAAAGCAACACTCTAGTCTACTGGCTGCATAAGGTTTAATGGAAAGGAAAATGAAATACCAATTGCATCGATATTGGCTGAAAAACACAGGGAAAAGAGTAAAAGATTAAACACAAACATAAACAAATTTTATTCTAACTGAAAAGATGATGTACATTATCTGCAGAAGAGGAACAAAATGAAAAGCTACAAGAAGTAACATTGAAGTTACAATTCCCACAAATTTTTTCATAATTTTTTCCAAATACATTAACTGCTATCAGAAATGTCTGACATTGTTCATGCAAAGTATCTAAACTTAATTGACTAAATCACAAACGTCTCCAACGCGAAGATATCTAGGTTATAACTTGAATAACCTAGTTTCACTAACAATTTATTCTACCGTGAAAGTTACTAACAGCTCACACCCATTCGTTTAATCTTTTGCACATAAACACAGTTTGATAAGTATTAATACAATGTTAAGCCACAAAGCCTATCTTCATATTATTTCTATTTAACAGTCTCTGGAATAAAGTTTCAAATGCCTACATACATTTTTTTACCAGAAACATATTACAATAAACATTATACATTGCAAATAATAGCAAATCAAAATCTTACGAGATTTTAAAGTAAAGTTCACTTTTATTGCAACACTACTGACGAAAATGATAGTAGATTTATATATTAGATCAAAGACAATAAAATAAAAGATAATAGTTAAAAAAGCAAAGAAATTTCGATAGCTACTTATTGCAGCGTTGTATCATATTATGCCCAAAGTTTACAATTTAGTATTTATCGATGATTACCTTAAATTATCTTGAATAATGCTACAAAAAAATCTAAGCTACATAGCAACATGCACTACATGTTTATATACACTGTTTATATAAGACCCATCTGGAACATATGTATATATATATAAGTATATTATATATATATATATATATCGTTGTGAACAGACACAAAAAGAACAACAGAAAAAAAAGAAAAAGGGGTCATTACAAAGAAGTAGACACAAGATGTAGGAAATATGTCTCAGGGAAATATGTATCAAGGAAATAGAAGAAACGACCCTTTGGTACCTTGTTATTGTTTTAGGTACACGGGGTAAAAGACAACATTAAATGGTTGATGACATCAACAACAGCGTCGATGCTGGTCAGAAAGAGAATGAGTAGAATGGGAATAGAATGAATTAAGAATTAAAGTTACTCGAGCCAGAAGCTTTTTTCATAGTTACTTGTTAGTAATATGTAATTATAATTTATTATTAGATAATATCAAAAAGAACCTTTTAAACACTGCAAGCTAAATAAGACAATTTTTGGCAAAACTTCAAAGAAACTCAATGATAAAAATCACAAATAGGTGACCCCACAAGATTAGTTTTTTGTAGAGAAATATGGCAAAGGAGTGGGTATTCACTATTACTCGAAAAAATCATCTTTTTTACTATTTTCGTTTCTTTATCTACCTTACGAAGGTAGGTTATTTTACAAGCCTACAGAGATCTTGTCTCCAACAAGGCCATTCCATAAAACATGGAACAGGATAACATCTCGTAAGGTTTTTGAGCAGAAAAAGCTACTGGCAAATTCTGGAGCCAGTTTTACATTAGTTATTAAGCATCATAAAATTTGCTTTAGATGAATTTTCATTTATACTTTATATGCCTATCATCAAAAGTAAAACAATCCAAAGCCAGCAAATATTACAAGAAAAAGAGAGATGGGTTTTTTAGTTTTTGTTACAAATTTAGCCGAATGACTTGGAGGCCGAGATCTTTTCTAGCTTTGCTGTGGTGCGTAGAGACTGACGTCATGTCAAATGGCGGGAAAGAGAAGCTGTTGTGTAGAACATTCAAAAATTTGGGTTCCTAACTGCTTTTTGCTAAAATTTGGGATCCTAACTGCTTTTTGCTAAAATTTGGGATCCTAACTGCTGGGATCCTAACATATGTGGATCAACTTTATTTGAATAGACTTTTAGCTAAACATATACCGTGTTATATTTTTAGCTTGACTACCTGCCACACGATCAGATATTAGAACTTAGCAAATATTGTTAGCTACTTCTTACACAGTGATTGAGTCTCTTCATTCTCTGAGTTTTGCTTCTCTCCAGCTCCGTTTGATGCTGGCTTGAGTATCTGCAAGTGAACAGTTTCCCCTTCACATTTCTTTGCATCCGTTCGAGACGTTCTGGTCATCGTATGGGAGAGGTCGGTCTTTGCTGGCTTTGCAGCCATTTTTTCAGATGCATTTAGCCTTGACCTTCGCCAGAAAAGGCAAAATCTAAACATATTTAGCAGCTGATTTCTGTATTCTTCGCTGATGTAGAAAAGCATGAAGGGGTTCACCACTGACAGGCTGTAAAACAGAGCCACAAGAAGTGACCACACATGAGCAAAATAGACGCTGGTTGGAAGAGCTCCTGAATCTATCAGTACGTAGAAGACCTCAAGGGGCAAGGTTGTAATTGAAAACAGAATGTAGAGGATGAAAAGGGCTTTGGTCAGGCGTTTGCTTCTGTACTCTCTTCGCAGCATCTGAGTTGCATTAACAGCATTACCCTTTCTAAAGAAATTGATGCTGGTTTTCAAGGCGTTGTAAATCTTCACATAGCAGTATGTCGCCACCACCATTGGAATGACATATGTGACAATAAAGACACACGACCTGTAGAGGATTCTGTACTCGAAGGAAGGCCAAGCAGGTTTGCAAACGTAATCGTTGATTATTCGGCTGTAAGCTAATTCGAATTTTCCGGTAAGGGGTGCAGAGAGAAAAGCGTATGCCAGCAGCCATATGACAAGGATACCAAGCTGGACATGCCACAGATGAATGGTGCACCTCATTGGGTTGACTACCACGTGGTACCGAATGAGTGCCAAAGAGGTATGGGTGAAAACGGAAACACCGACGATGCATTCTCCAAAGGCGCCAAGGAAGTATTTGCAGAGATTTTCGCCAAACGGCCAACCAGTAAAGTGGTAAATATTGGTCATCGGTATGTTGAACAGGGTTATCCCAAGGTCAGCAATGGCGAGATTAAGAACCAGCCAGTTTGTTGTGCACCGCAAGGATTTGTTGAAAAGGATGACAAATGCAACCAAAACGTTGCCCAGTGTGCCAAAAATGAATATGACACAGTGAAATGCCATCTCGATCATGACTTTCGTTGATGAGAAAGAGTGTGCTTTGTTGGTGTGTATGGGAGAGAGAACTTGGCTAACGTTGCTTGTCAAATTCCCGGTTATGTTCTTGGCTATGTCCTCGCCTATTTTCACGGTCATGTTCCCGGTTATGTTGCCAGTTATGTTCCCGAATACACAAACAAAAAGACATAATGTTTCATTCATTGTTCGTAAGCAAAGATGCTGTGGATGTGTACCTGAGCAATTGGTGCCGCGCTACTCTTTATCTTCAACACAGCATTTCTCTCTTTCCAAGGTCATTTCTCTCTAAAATTCAGAATATTTCGACATACCATTATTAAAAACATCTTGTATAGGCAAGACACACCAAACCACAAATTTATTTAAATATTTCATGAATTTTTTTCAGGTCTGGAGCGTTTGCACATCTTGTCTTTTTTCATTAACTCAGTTAACCAGAAATGTAATCAGCAATCTGCACAGCCCTGCAAACAGCAGTTTTATGGCAGAAAACTAATTCTTTTCGAATATCCATCTCACGCAGGTTTTAGACGATGAGATGAATAGGTTTTATTTTTGGAAAAAGTAACCAAACAGTTTTTTAAGAGGAGATAGAAGAAATTAAAACCAACTGCACATGAGATATAACTGGATTAAGAAATAGGATCTTTATCTTGTTGGAATAGCACGATGGGTCAACAGGACAACAGGCGATTACATAAATAATCTATAAAACCATGATTTGATCTTATGAGCCCTAAAAGCCGCATTTGCGTTGAATTTTAACTGAGCTGCTGTACAAAAATTACAAGTACATCGTTTTTCATTAATCTGCTTTAATCCAATGAAAGAACGCAAGACTTGTTCCTTGCACTATGATTCCTTCAACGATTATTGCGGCAATATTTGCACAGACGTTTTACAGATACCCACATCTAAACATCGCTTAATTTAAAGGAAATGTAATATTTCCAGACATACTTGTGCGAAAAGTTGCTTTCAATGAAAATTTCAATGAAAGACCCGATGACATTAATATTTTGCCTGGATTTTCCATTATCTGACCTTATAGTCAAGATAAAGCAATGCTGAAGATTATTCGAAATCATCAAACAAGATGCTTTTACTCTTTTCCTGTTTTGATCAGCATCAATGCTGAATATTTTTCAATAAAATATCAAAAAACAACGAAACAACAAAACAAAACATTTCCTTTTTCATAATTCATGTCCGCTTCTTCAGTTGTACGAGTTCACAAAACACATTCCATGTCTAAACAGCTTGACAGTGCACAGATCTCAAAAGCGGTTCACTATTGCCTTTAGCAATTGTACATCATGTCTTTTTTCGTGTAGCTTAGCAAGGGAGAGTTAAGGTGGGGGGGGGGGGGGGGGAGGCCGTTGCCCACTAAATGCTCAAAAAGTTGTTGTCTGAGGAAAGTTCCAAGCTTCAATAAAATTGATACCTCGGGAGAGGAATTGTGAAGGAAATAGACAGTTGTAGAATGGGGTCATCAACAAAAAGCTACTTATGACGATTATTGTGTTTGATTAGCCAAGCATTGTCTCGTGAAAAAGTCATAGATTTTCCAAACGCATTAACAAAATGGGGCGTTTCCCCCAAATTCTTAAGGGTGTGGTCAGCAAAAAATTTCCCGGACCCCTGCTGCCCTACGCCTGTTCGTCCTTCCTATCTTCCAAACCTGGCTGCGTCACTGATTTCTCTGTAAACTTATTCCATCATAAAATACAACAAAGAAATAAACTGCCAGAATTTCTCTTAATAGCTCTTCATCTTTTAAATCTAAAGCTGAGCAGTATCAAACAGAACGAAACTATTCTTATTAGACGGTGATTTTCACAAAACGGGTAAATAAATATGAATAACTAAAGTCTTGGCTTAGGAATTGTAAACGATTTTTTGTGGAAAGTAAAGCTAAAATAGTGTGCAATGTAGAAATGGACAAGGACGTGCACAATCTTAACGAAAATAGGTTTATCATGGCAGCAAAAGAAAAGAATGGATCCCTTAATTTCATATTACATAAGATAAAACGTTTCCCTTAAACTAAGATTGCAGCTGCTGAGTGAACTCGGGGCCGGCGAAAGGTATTTGAAGGTGGAGGGGCCAAAATATCAAAGTCTTGAAAGGACTTAGGAAAGACCGCCACCATGATTGGCGGCAAGAAAAAGTTTAGAATTATAGTGTCTTAGGGATGGCCAGAAACTGTATCTAAAATGAATTTTGACTGAAGGTGTCGCATAGTCGTGTCTATTGTGATGTTGACTTGAATAGAAACGTTTTGCAAAGTTTTAGAATAACCACTATCATTTGGCTCGAAATGAAACCTTTTATGGATTTTAAAAGTACCCGAAATAAGATGGGGGAGAAAAATAAATAAAACACGGATTAATAAAAAACATTAACATTGAAATATCAACAGAAGTTTTTTGACGATACTTTTTAAGAACAGATCTGCCCATATTTTATTTCTCATATCCTCAAAAAAGTTCTTTCCAGTTGTTTCTTTTCCTTCAAAAGCTGATTTCTCTCTTCTTGTAATGTTTTTGAAAAAGTTTTCGCTAACAAATAAACTTTGTGTGCCAATTTTAAGCAATGGAAAAAACGAAACTCCATCAATTTGAGCTGGCACCAAATTATTCTGGACCAAATTTCTCGATCTATTTGCTAAGCCAAGCTGTTACTCGTTATAAAACTTAGACAATTCCGATTTCTTCGATCTAATTCCCATCTATAATTTTATGTATGTCTTCTATGGTGAAGACATAGCAACCAAGGTAAAGCTAAGGACACATTTAAGAGGATACTAGGCAAAGTTTCTTTCAGAATCATATACTACATTTATTTCCACTTTTCTAGAAATAAGCTAATAATGCCGTCTTTCAATAAATCATATAAAAGCTTGCTAGATTTGATTTCACAATTTGAAAATGACATTTTTTGGTTAATACTTCTAAGGTACAGGTGTGGTTGCAATTGTATGAGCAACACTGTCTAATGCTCAAGGCCATTCTACAAACTCAAACAATGTTATACGGCAGTTGAATTATAAGCACCTGTTCATAATCTGTACTGCCTGAGGCAACAACAAAGGAGCCTTTCGTTGATTTACACGCTAACCAACGAAGACAGCTTTATAGAGTTGCAGAAAATTACGAGAACACCGACAGGGTTCACTAGTCCATTAACTTTGTAAGCCAATAAAGAGTGGTCCTGAAAGTTTAAATCCAGTGAAGTGAAGACACCTTGATGATTAATTGCAAGTAAACTAAATCTAAATTTTTTGAAGAGACAGAAACTATTTTGTATTAAGGTGTTGGAAATGGAAAACATTTCGGTTTAACGGCGGTTCAATAGATTCCTCTTAATTTCCTATTGCAAATATTTCACCTAGGAGAAGGTTTTGTAGACTTTTACTTAAAATACTTGTCAACTCCTATGTTTGTTAAGTATTATTGTTCTAAGTTTCTCAACAAGGTAACGGCAGTTCAATTGTTGTTTCTGAAGTTATACGAAAACACTTTGCCTTATACTTTGTAAGTCTGTAAAAAATCCGTATGTAGAAAGTCTGTATAAGAATAGTGAAAAGGCGATTAGTTGCTTTTGCCGCCAGAAACCGTAGATATCCATAGAATTTCACAAATTATCATATTCAAACTTGGCAATATTTGCAGCAACAATCACCATTTTTTAAGAGATGTGATATGAATGTGCCTTATTTAGGAATTTTGACATTATTAAACTATTAGCTAATAAAACATTCAGTGTTTGGTCTAGTAGGAAAGAGAGCACCGCTCTTTGCCTTTAGAGCCGGTTTCCAGTTTTTCTCCCGCTGTACTGTAATTGCTTTTAAAACCTGTCTTGGAACTGAAACATATTAAAGGTCCAGATTATCTTCCTTAACGAGGTCTTTCCCAAAGGGAGCTCCTTTTGATCCTTTGCCTTCATTATTTTCAAGGTTTTAAAAATTTGGTTGAAAAATTGATCAAAATCACAAAGTTTGCTTGAGTGTCAATGTCCATCAAAAGGTTGATAATAACTACGATAAATGTTTCATTTTCACCTCTCCTTACATTTTACAGTAGCCAATTCTTCTATGCTGATGCTGAAAATGCTCTGCTTCTTTGCATCTGTCTTCGCACTTTAGATGTGAAATTACCTGAAGACCTCCTTTCTTTCAGCTGTAATTCCACGTTTCTAGGCTCATTAAGTTGACAAGCTTCCTTTTCGAATTAAACTAATGGATAACCTGTTTCGATCACAGCTGTGATGCATCGATCGGAGAATTGGAAAAGCATGGAAAAATGTTTATTTGCTAGCTGCAAATGCCAACAGAATGAAGACAAGCTTGGGGCTCATCACAAGAGTTGGTGTTAATTAGCTGTTTATTGGCTAGTATTTTGTAAACCAACATTAAATAAAGTGAATAAAAAGAGAGAAAGTTGATTTGGTGAACCATCACAATTCGCAAATTAGGCTGGAAACAAGCACAATGCTTGAGAAGTAGCGCAATAGGGAAACAATAATGAAACAATATTTTCCTTAATACTATCTACCTACAATGCAAAACTTCATAATCGCAGAATAGTACATTTTCGTTTCCATTCAGTATGAATGTAGATCAAATCCGCTGCGTATGAATACTGCGTTTTGACAAATTTAAGGATCAGGCGCTGTAACAGGAAGTTTCTCAAGCAATTTAGGGTAAAAACAAGGTACGGGAATAGGTTTTTTAAGAAAGAACGATACTGGAAGAATACTAGACGTACAGAGAAATGATGGACATATATGTCGGATGGTGTAATGTTACCAGGGGATGGCTAGCGAACTTTAGAATGTCAACGGAAGACTTCGTGAACCTAGCACAAATCTTGGGACCATATAGTTTTGATTTTGCACGCCCAGATCCCTCCAATTTAAAAATAGTGTTCACATGAATATTTTACGCCACCTTGAAAATTAAACCGGTTTAAAAACCGAATCGAATCTCAAGGAGATGCGAGTTTAAATTCGCCCAACTCATGTGAACAAATTTTAGAGAGGAAGATAATTTACAGCCAAGAGGAAGATAAATCAACAGGAGCCGATAACATCCTTTCAAAAGTTCTTAAAATGGCAATAGACGTTGTCTCTTAACCACTAACTAAGATATTCAATCGATCACTTTCTTATAAAATGTTCCCCTTTCTTATGAAGATAGCTAATTTGTGCCCTATTAAGGAGATTCAACTAGTAAAGTGAATTATAGATCAATAAGTGTGCTCCCCTCAGGTATTTGAGAGAATAATGTTCAATCAAATCTACAATTACATTATTGTTTAACTGTTCCCTTTGCTTTGTAGATTCAGAAAAGGTTATAGCACACGACACGCTTTATTACGACTTATTGAAGGTCTGAAAAAGTGCCTGGATAAAAAAGATGTGGCTGGTGCAGTGCTTATGGATTTTTCAAAAGCATTTGATTGTTTACCCCATATACTTCTAGTAGCCAAACTGAAGTCTCATGGCTTCAGCGACAACGCAATTGAATTTATGTATAGTTATCTAGAGAAAAGAGTACAACGAGTAAAATAAACCCAAATTTTAGTGATTAGATTGAAACAAAGCAAGGAGTTCCTCAAGGATCAATCTTAGGCCCGTTGTTTATCAATATTTACATAAATTATATTTTTCTGCATTTGAACAAAAGCAACTTATGCAACTACGCGGACGACAATACAATTTGGCTGTCAAGTACTGATATGAATAAATTAACTGACGACTTAGAATCAGAAGCAGCTATTCTTAATAAATGGTTTGATGAAAATTGTTTGGTGCTCAATGGCGATAAAAGCAAGCTTATAACATTTAAAGCCAATCGATCCAATTTAGAGGAATCTAAAATTCAAATAAATGGTTCTACTAAAAAGAAAGTAAGAATGTCAAACTTTTGGGAGTAACACTAGACCATCAACTTAGATTAGAAGAACATATTAAAGTTTTTTTGTAAAAAAGCTGGGAAAAAGGTGATCGCTCTAGGATTGCTTCGTATATGGACAAATCTAAGCGAATTCTTTTAATAAAAACTTTAATAATATTATATTTAAATTATTGTCCTCTTATTTGGATGTTTTGCAGTAGGAAAAGTAATAGCCAGATAAACCCGATTCATGAGGGAGATTTTTGAACAACTTTCAGTAAAGAACAAAAACAATAACTTCTCAAAAAAAAATCTTGCGATAGAAATTTATAAAACATTTAACGGTTTGAATCCACCTTCTACGCATGAAATATTTTTCATAAATCAATGTCCAAATTGCTTTAAAATTTCTCAATTCAAAAGAGCGGAACCACATTACAAAATATATGGATTTAATACCGTAGCATACAGATGTAGCCAAATATGGAACTCAATTCCAAACGAAACAAATTGCTCCCCTACTTTACAAATATTCAAGAAAAAATCTCAGAATTTTCATCTTTCAAGTGTACTTGAAAACTTTGCATGAAATACGTATGCAACGTCAGATAATTTTGATTTACATTATATTTAGCATTGGTAGTTTAAATTAGTTGATTTTCATTAGCTTGAGTATGTATAGCTTAAATTGTACCAACTTTGAATGAAAAAAGAAGAAAGGAAAAAAACTCCGAATTCAACGTGAGGCCGGCGTGAATTTAAAATCAGCCCGGAATTTCTCATGGCCTCTTAGTTAATTCAACTGATTCAACTCAAACGGTTGGAAGCGTTTTGCGAGGTGAATATTCATTTCAAGCACAATCCTTTGCCATTTCCTGCCGAACACTATCTGCCTTCTCAGGGCCGTCGCTAGCTATGGTGCTCAAAGGGGTGCCCAGTGATCCCATCTGCCGACAGAGCCATCCTTTACTTACCGACAAGTCTAAAAATTTGTAGGCAAAAAATTTCTTGTTTATAAAATGAGAATTCACCCCACCTCACAACCCCCCTCCCCCGCCCGACGTCCCACTTTAATGACGGCCCTGTGCCTTTCAGAATGTTTAGCCATAATTTTGAAGATTTTATAGTTTTGTTGTCTGTGTAACGCAACATAGCTCCGCTTACACGCATAATATATATTTTCGAGATTTCTACACAAGCTATTACCGTGAAATTCTATACACACTGTTGCAAGTACTAACTAAATTGTTCGCTTGCAAATGGAATGGGCTTTTATGCATTTATTAACAAGATAAGTTTGCTAGCAGATAACCTGTGGTTGAATAAACCACTTCATGCAAGCACCAAGTCAAAACATTAAAAAGTGAAGCCCTGTCCTACACTACATTAAAAAGCGCTTATTTCTTGCATTTTCAATCAAATGAGGCATCTGTTTTCGATGTTATTGCGCAATGTTTTGGCTTTTTCAGTCAACAAGATAACCGACGCTTTTAAGTATGTCAAGAAATCTATCCGAAAACATTGTCTTTTCATACATAAACCACAAAGTTCCATCAAGTTGATTATCGCAATTAACAATGATCTCCTTATGCTAGGAATTAAAGTGATGTTGGACAATCTACACCAACAGGATTATGTACGTTGCTCCTAAAGAAACCGAGAAGAAAACAATTTCGAAAAAACAGTCAACAGAGTCAATGAACCATTCGCCAAGAATCTTCATCTAGGTTGCTTTCAATTACCTTTCGAACGTGCTCTTCACCACTACCTGCTTATTATTCTTAGCTTACCTGCTTATAAGTTTAATTAGCTTAAAAAGTTCCACCTCCTTTTAGGAACTTATAAATCAGCGTCAAAACAATTCGGTAACGTATTTAATGAAGTTTATTCCTACCGGGGTCTGCTATTAAGTGGTCGATGTCGTATGAACACACTTTGATGCATAGAACAGGACGGTTCTAAGTTGCAACTCAAAATATCACGCTCATTGCAATATCAAGATGAAAATATTAAGCTTCGCTAATTTTAAACCGAAATGGTTTATCGTAATATTAAAATGTTTGTGAAATAGAAAGCGCCTTTCACCCTTAGCATAAACAAAGCAAAGAGTTCAACAATTAAAGTGCGTTACCTTACTGCATTGAAGTCTTTTAACTGTAACACTGATTAAACTGTAACACTGGCCCAATAACCACCGACTGCTTGTCAGCCTGTTGAACTGCAACTGTCACCAAAATCTATGCTTGTCACTTATCTGATCTGTGAAAACATCTGTGCATGCAACTGTGCTTGCTTCATTTTAAAAATTTATAGCGTTGAAGCAAAAATGTGTGTTCCAAACTCCTAAGTATCAAGCCAAATTTTTAAAGACTCCCCCTGAGCTATTAAGAGCTTTCCATAACCACTGCGCTGGAAATTCACAGAACTGAGAAAAGAATATCTTCTCAAAGGGTGGAGAATATCATTACTGTCCTATTTATTTTTTGCTTAAACTGATGGAAGATCTGAAATGAATAGTTTGATCTTGTTGTAATTATTATATCTAATCGGCTTGAATTATAATTTGACGCAAAATTTAACAGAACAGCAAAAGCATCTAGAACCTGAAATAAAGAACTTTCGTAGGGTCTGGAGCTCAGGCTAGTGCAGGAAAATTATGTGCTTGGTTGCTTATAATTCGACGGACCGACTTCCAAAAAACCAGATGTGGCTAGGTTCTTTGACCCGGAATTTTCAATCAAACTAACAAATCAACGAAAAGTAGCTAGGCTAAAGCCAGCTGCAACTATTTGTGTGGGAGTTCCAGGAAAACATCGCGGAACCATTCACACGAGGTGTTTAATATTGACTATATAACAGACACCACTACAGGGCACGAACTGTAAAAGTTTTGTGACAGCAACTAGTATGCGGGGTTCGGCGTAATATGACAAAAGACGTCCACAATGAAAAACGAGGTCTATAAATTAGCGTGAATATATTTCGTGAATAAAACCAAATGAGTGACTCAAACAACTCGATCATACAATGAATGATGCGCAATTGATATAAAAGAATTAACAAGGGCAAAAACATCAATTTTTCCATAAGATTTGATATTTCATCGAAATTAAAATTCAGAAATTTAGAAAAAAGTAACATAACGTGAATGGATGTGTGTTCAATTCAGGGATCGCACAATCTCGGGCATACCTAATTGCAAAACTCCTCATTGCCGTTGAAGTTCTTCGTTTGTGAAAATCTTTCGTTAATGTATGATTCATATTTTTTTATATTTCAATTTACTTTTATTGTTTTGAATTCTATTGTAAGTGGAGATGACCCCGGTGAAGCGGCAGGCACACATCCTTCCCCCATACTTGTGACAGATACAATATAATGCAATCACTCATATAAAAGAAATAGAAACTTACAATTTAAACCAAAAATATAATGTACAAAAATGAAAGGAATAATTGAATTTTCAGGCTCTATCTATTTAAAAGCAAAATCTCAGTTTTGTCTCTTTGAAAGCAAGTTTTCAGTCTGTTTATTCTTCAAAAGGAAATTTTCAGCTTCTACTTAGTTCAAGGCAAATTTTCAGCTTCTTTCTATTTCAAAGCAAGTTTTCAGTCTCTATCTCTTCCAAAATTTAGCAAGACAAAAATTCTGTTGAATTGTTATCTTTAGACCGAATTGAATTTCCGAGATTACATGCACTGCGTAGTAGTACGCTGGTTAACCTACTGTATTCTCTCTCTAATGAGCGCCCTCCTTTTTGAAAAAAATTTGCCAAACCGCCCTTTGGCAAGATGGAATCATGCGTGTGATTGGGTATGCGTCGAGGATATTAACCCATGCAGAGCAAAACTATTATTAACTTTCGTGCAAGTTAGAGTTCCTTACTCTGAAACGGGCTACCACTGGACAATTTCGGGACTATTAGGCGTATGGACCAGGCTTTATAGTGTATACGGACAATAAACCTCTGACATGTATAATGTCTACAGCAAAGCTAGCAGCCACAGTGCACAGGTTGGTCGCTGCACTTGCAGATTTAAACTTTCGTATAAAGTACAGACCTAGCAAGACACACAAAGATGCTGACTTCTTATCTTGAATGCCCAAAGATGTTAGTATTTTCATGACCGAATGCACAGAGGAAGTGTCTTCATCTGATATGCACTGCAGCTTCTGCGCCAAATTCGAGTCATTCTGCATGGATAACATTATCAACTGTTGACGAAAAAGTAATTGACACTTTCCTAAAACAACAACAAAACGGAAACATTGGCCTAGGAATCTAGAGTTCCTTAGAAAGGAACAAAATGGGGACTCAGTTACAAATAGGTTGATCCATTTCAAGGAAAATGGTAGACCATCGCAAGAAGAACTACACTCAGAGAGCCCATCAGTACGAACAGCAATGCATGAATGGAACGAGCTGAAGATTGGGCATGATGGTATTTTCTGTTACCACGAAAGTATCATCGATTAGTACTAAAACACCTACATGAGGAAATGGAACACGTTGGAGCAAACAGAGTGATTGAATTGGTTAGGGAGAGATTTTATTGCCCACACATGGCACGGGATATGGAGCATTATGTTACCAAGTTATGCGAGTGTCTAAAACATAAGAGGCCAGTTGTTAATCAAAGTGCGCCAGCGCAAGGTATAAAGGCAAGTGTACCATTCGAAATTATTAGCATTGACTTTGTCCACCTCGAGAAAAGTGCTGGAGGGTACGAATACATCCTTGTAATTGTAGACCATTTTACTCGTTTTGCTCAAGGCTACGCTACAACAAATAAGTCTGCAAAGACGGCTGCCGAGAATCTATTTAGTGATTTTATTAAAAGGTTTGGATACCCGCAAATAATCCATCATGATCAAGGCACAGAATTCGAGAACGATTTATTCCACCATCTAGAACAGTTAACAAACATTAAACGATCGCGGACCTCACCATATCACCCTATGGGGAACGCCCAGTGTGAACGCTCTAACCAGACGTTATTGTCCATGCTTCGTTATCTCTCTGATACACAAAAATCGAAATGCAAAGATCACGTTAACAAAATGGTATTTGCCTACAATTGTGCAAAGAATTAATCCACCGGTTTCTCACCTTATGAATAATTTTTTGGGAGAAATTATATTCGGAAGAACACAAAGTTTACAAAGAGCACAAAGAACACAAAGCCGGTTTCAATAAGTCAGTCAAAGTCTACGCTATGCGCACAACGTCAAACAGGGTCAATTCTCTAAACGTATTGTGCGATTGAAGCTCCCGTCATCCTTCTAGGAAATGATAGGCCCAGCTTTGATAAACTGTTGTATAACACTAATGGTAAAAAAAGCTCGGAAAGTTCTGTGGAAAAGCTGTTTTGGAATCGATTTACATACAAGCTATGCCAGTGCGTTTTTCTGATTGGCCTATTTCGATCCGCAACTGGGTATACATTTTCCATCGTGTTCTTTCGGATCCTTATTCTGACGTTTTATGCTCTGGGGAGTGTCAAACAAAAAAGCTTTAAGAAGCATGTTGTGAAATGTTTGCTTTTTGGAAAGCAATTTTCATAATATTGTAAAACCATGCTTTCTTTTTCATTCTTAACATTTAAACTGCATGTATATAAATTGTTGATAATTTTCTCTAGCAAACCACGCTTATCACATCACTTAAGCACATTTGCTGTTTTTTGTTGTGTTGTATGATGGGGATTGAGGCGTGGTGCGTTCGACCAACAAAAGAAGTCAGGATTGCGATCTGTGGACTACATCAATTCGAATCTGGTTTATTGGGAATTTTCTTAGTTGTATACTGTGTTAGAGGAACAGATGTTTGGGAAGGAGAAAATGAATATCAGTAAGACCCTGATTTCTGGTGTTGCCGAAAGAAGAGAAACCCTATATATGGACGATGTAGGCGTTGATTCAAGGGAATTAAGGAGAGATTAAAACAAGTCAGAGCTGATCCAAAGCGCGAACTCATGGCGAACTGACAAGGTAATCAACGAGTTTCTAATTCCCTGAATGTTGGTGGAGAAACTGCCGAGATTCGAGCGATTGAAAGAAGACTAGATGAAGCGTTCCATAAATTCAAAGTCGCATGAGTAAAACACAAAAGTTTACCTAATGACGATGACGACCTTGAATAATCAGCAGTATGCTTACATGTAGCAAAGACAAAAGCCCGGTTACACTGTCCCAGGACAATTTTGTACCGTTACGGTTCGCAAGTGTTCACACTTTCACAGTTCCAAATTGTTCCGTTTAGCCGTTCCGATTACACTGTGCCGGTACAATCTTATAAATTCAATGGTAGAACATTGTTTAAAAGAAGCTGTATCTAGTCAACCAGGGTTTTTATTTTGCCACCAAAATCAACAATCAAAATTTTATTGAGAGCGAAAATAAAGAAGAAGGCCGATAAAAACTTGTATTTTTCACCAAATTGTAATTTTTCTTCTCAGTGCTATTTTATACTACAAAACTGTCAAGTCCAATCAAGGCTTGGACTTGGAATAGAAGCATTTTCTGTCGTAATCTTTTCTTCAGAATTTTCTTTATCTATAGGAGTTTTGAATGGCGTGGACGAAGACGGTGGTAATCATCGTAAATGGCTGCTAAATAGATATTCAGCCCAGCGATCGCTACCAATGAATTTAACAAGGCGATAAGGAATTTGGCAGCGTAGTTTGAATTTTCAGCAGTCATCTTGACAGTTCCCTTTTCTAAAAAGTTGCGTTTACACTGTCACGTTCAGAAACAGAACCGTGACGGTACATATTTCGTTTGCTTTCAAAGCAGGGTCAGCCGGATAGCACAGCAAAATCGGCTCGGTTCCACAGTGCTAGTGTACATTGGAGGGCAAACTTGCACGGAACTGTGTAAGCAGGATGAAAGACTCCTGGTGTCGAGCCATTAGAGCAATTCTAAAGGCCCATTTCCAGTTCGTTTGGAATTTGGATTTGGCATCCCATTTCCGATTTCCGAACCACGGACGTTTTCCTATTTCAATCCACACTTCCACAACGTTCGGACGAATCTTTTGTAAAGTAGCCCAAAAATTGACAATTTTTGGGCGTTTTTCAATTGTTGTTTATCGAAATCGAAAATGGCTGCCTTTAATCGACGAAGATTGTTGATTTTGATGCTGATGAGAAGAAGACAGCTTTCCAATAGCCTGGGTTAAAGCATATCCGGGTTAAAAATTATCCGTTTCTGCATTGCGTTCCCACTAACCCACTTGAAAAACGGATAAGTTTGAAAACGGGTCTCAAAGCGGGTCAGTTTTTACCCGGGTATCTTTTGACCTACCTGAGAGTTAATGGAAACGCCGAAACCCGGATAACTTCTGACCCACGTGCAAGAACAGCAACGTTTAAAAATTGAGATGGCGCCAATAATCAAAAAAAAAAATCCTGGATGTCAATGTTGCTTCCATTGGCCTACAACGATAGAAATTGAATGATTATTGATGCAAATACTGATTTATTTTACAACTTTTCACCCCGAATACATTTTAACCCGGCTTAATGGGAACGATCAAAAACGGATTAAAAACGGGTCGAAAAAATGCCATTTCCATTGACTCACTTTAAAAACGGATAACTTTCAACCCGGACATGTTTTAACCTAGGCTAGTGGAAAGGCTGCCTAAGAGATTTTGGGTACGACCAATCCTTCAACAGAGGAAACAGCAAGGAGAGTATTTCAACTTAGTGAGAGAAATTTTTAAATCCCTTCTTTCTCGCCATAGCTCTTGCTCATCACGTCACAACAAGGCCGCAATTGCTGAGAAGCAGTTCAATAATGCAA